TTGTAACTTGTCATCCTGTATCCTGGACATGAACCTGGACCTGGACTCTGTCAGCTTGGCATCCATCATGCACCTCAAGATTGTGGTTAACAGCTTAACTCAACAATGGCACAATAGTAAAGTGCTCAAAAGGTCTGTCTGGAAAAGTCGCTCACCCGCTGTTCTCGATGAACGTGTAGATGGTGGCGGCTTCCCCACTGGGGCCCAAAGTAGCTGCACAGCTTTCCACAAACACCCGCAGAGGAACGTGATTAGCACGGACCACTGAGGCTTCCAGGTTTATGAAATCTCCCAGAAAGTAGGCATTAGATGATCGCTCATACCTCCAGTCATCTGTAGGTCAGGTTAAGACCGTTAGATCAACAATTTCAACACAGGAACACTAAAAGACTCCTTACCAGTCATGAGTTTGAGGGAGAAGTGCAGATGTTCTTCGCCAGCTCTCACTGCAGCATAGGGAAACCAGGTGGGATTCAATGCATTACTACTCACATTGTGTTTCCTGAAAAAGTTAGAAGAAACCACATACAGCATCTGGAGAACCAGAGTAAGACTGACAGTTTTTAGTGCCAATTGAATATTCTTACAATGACTTAATGATATATTAAAAGTATATTAATGTAAAGTAATATAAAATAAATATTTGAAAGGGAAAAACATGATTTGGAATTCCCAAAACTTTCACTTTATTCTTGTAAAAGGCATTTTATGAGCAGAGTCCCAAAACATTATGGTTTCCCCCCCCTCAAAATCTTGCATTTGTTTTGCATTTTAACATGGCACTAAAATGCCATGTTGAAGTATAAACTAAAACCTGGTTGTCATGTTACCATGTTAGTTTAAAAGGTTTACCTTGGGTAGATGCAATGAATTTCAACCATAGCTTCATTAGTCTTCACAATAGGCGTGTTAAGAACAGGTGAAGGTGAATACACCAAAACAAATGAATAAACAAGTGAATCCTCATTCATCTGAAAAGAAATTGTGGTCCACAAACAAATATTAATAAATATTAAAACACTGTTCATACATAAAATTTAAATAATAAAAGTAGTAAAAGACAATAAATTAGACAAAATAAATTGAATTAAAAAAAGACAAAAAAAATTCAAAAATAAATAAAATTGAAAAAAAGAAGAAATAAACATACTACAATAAATACAAAAATAAAAGAAATCTATTGATAAAAAAAAAAACAAACAAACAAAAAAAAAAATCATGATCAACTAAAAATAAAATAGAAAGA